TTCTTTATATTTAAATATTTAAATTTATTTTAAAACTGAGAATATATATTGAATTTATAACACATAAACTATAAAATTATTTTAAAATATTTATTGAACCTATAAATAAACCGATTAAATTTTAAATTTAAATATCAATAATAATAATAATACAGATTAATCTTTAAAATTATTTTTTAAATTAAAAAAAAATTATGTTTCAAATATTTATTCTATGTGAGGAATGTTGTTTACGTCGGAAATGACGTCACTGCATATTAAAAAAAATGTATAAAACTACTCAATAAAAAAAACATAAATGTAATCAATTAAAAATGTATTATTAAAACTTTCAAAATATTTTAAAAAAAGTAATTATAAAAAAAATTTATTAAATTACGCTAACAACAAAAAACTATATATGAATTAGCAGAGGGCGCTAATGTAGGCAGATAAGACTGTGCTATTCATTCTGATTATTATAAAGTCGAGTGGCGAGGAAGTGCGAGTCCGATGATAAAGTTTAATTTAATTTAAACATTTATGTTATTTTTTTAAAAAAAAGTCATGACTCGGATATATTTTAAAAGTATTTGATCAAGAAAATTAACGTTTAAATTCTTATAAACATGGTTCAAAAGTATCAATCTCCCGTCCGGGTATATAAATACCCTTTTGAGCTGGTGATGGCGGTAAGTAAATGTATTAAACATCATTTATTTTATAAATTAAGCTTAAGTGATTTGTAAATTTACTTCAAAATACACAAACTCTTCATTCAATTCACAGTCCTTGACTTTATAAATACATTTGCTTGATGTATAATTTATATAAATTGATAGAAAATTTTTTTCTTATAAAATTCTAAAATTAAAGAATTCTACATATATAGAAGATCCCATAAATGATTAAATACTTGGCATTGATTCAATTAGATATGTAGTAATAAAAAATATATAGCTATATAAGCTAAATTATTGATTCATCATCATTTATAACATAAGGTTTCTTAGATTTATATTATTTTAAAGTGATTTGAGTCTAGTTTTAGATGAAATTAATTCCTTATTTAATGCATATTATAATTTCTAAAATTAAAAATTTTTTTTTGTGAATTATGACTTATTTATTTTTATATTTAAATATAGATGTATATCAACGTTTATATATTAGTGTTTTAAATATATGTTTTAAATTAGTGTTTCTTTTTGTAAAAATATTAAGAACACGTTTCCTTAATTTCTCAATGACATTTTAGATTTCGGGAGTATAGGAAAGTTTGTTTGAAATCTTATTTTTGTAAACAAAAATAGAGCCTCGAGACGTAAGATTGCGTGAATGAAAATGTTATTAATACTATTATTTTATGTTTTTAGTAAATAGGTTTCTTGAGAAATTGCCATTTAATCAAAGAATATGTAAACAGATGTTTTTTTCCAGTTTGTATTTCTAATGCTTATTTTTTCGGTTAAAGACTACAGCTTTTATTAAATTTTAAAAAGTAAGATACGTCTTGTATTGTTTGGAATGTGTCGTTTGCTAGAGTGAAGGAGACTCTGCTTTGGCATCCTTGATAAAAACTATATCACTTCCTTTAAGTGTCGAAACAAAATTTTATTATAAATTAGTTATTTCTTATTTTAATAATAAGATTAATTTAGAAATAATTTATTATTGATTACTAGTAGGTTTAAAAATTTTCTTAAATTTTCAAACTTTTATAAAATATTTTTTGAATGTTTTTTTTTTTTATTATGAAATTTTGAATATTACTACCAAATATTTTTTATCTTAACTTTTGTATTTTTCTTTTATCATCCTAATAATTTTGTTAATGTTTTATTTGTTTTATAGTTAATTCTGATTTTAAAGGGTTTTGTTTGAGTGGGGATAACAATCATAAGTTTTTTGAAATTTTACTGTAATTTTAAAGTAAATAAATATCTTGGCTTTGCCTAATTTATTTAAAATGAATCTGTATTAAAAAACATATTTGTGAAATTAAATTTATAATTAATTTTAGATTGGATGCTTTGATACTTTATTTTAAACTATGCGAATGCGGTTAATAATTAGAAAAATTGATTAAATTTTTTTTAACTATAGAAACCTATTGCTGGCAGCTATCATAAAACTTTACATCACAAGTTAAAAAGCATAAGAAAAATTTAATTTTGTAAAAATATCTTAAGGTTAAATATATTTATAAAAATTAAAAAGTTCAGATATCTAATTTCACTCTTGGAAATATTTCATTGAAATTTTGCTGCAAAATTTCTAGTATCAACAGATACATACTATAAATGTCTATAAAGTGTTATGTTACCCTAACAAAAAAAAATTGTTTTATGTTGAACTATTTTAACTTGATGACATTTAAATAAATGTTTGTGTTAAGTTGCTCTGAAGAAAAGTTTTTTGAAAGTACTTTTGATATGACAATGGAGTAACTGTAAGGTTACAGATTTTCTTTAAATTTTTTTATATTTAGGTCTTCTGTTGAAATTTGAATGTTGTTCTTTAGTACTAACTATTAATGGTAAATTTTTATTATTAATAAATTTGGATAACAAATAAATAACTGAAATATGAGTATATTAATTAAAATTAATAGATAAATTATTTTATTAAATTGTTTTTCACTATCAGCAAAACAGATTTAAGCATGGTTAATAAGAGTTATTTATAAGTCATTCTCATAAAGATACATTTAAGCCAATGGAATAGTTTCACAAGTCAATCTAATTATATAATTCATAAAAGTGAAGTTAAAATTAATTTTAAACAAATATAGCCCGACCTAATCCGGCAATCATTTGGCATTAATTTTAAAGCTATGATTTCCAGTTTGATATTAAAGACCAATATTTTGCTCCTATTTATTATTTTGGAAACCCAGGAAAAATGGCAATGTGTCCCTTTGTAAGAAAAAGTTATTTTTGAAAAATAAACTTTGTATTGTATTAATGCTTGTGTGTATGCATATACAGTATTAAAAAGTCACCATTTTTAAATCAGTCATGATCAGTTAGTCTAAAAATATATTTTATATAAATATAATATGAAAGAACTTACAAGTAATCATATTGTCATGAGAATAGACCATTTATTACAAATTTATGTAATGTGTTGACTAAATGCCAACATTGCAGGACACAGTAATATTTTTGAACTATGAAGGTGATAGATAATGTTAATAGTGAAGAAAACGTTTGAGAGTTCTTAGTTAAATATACTGTACATACAAATGATTAACAACTGATCTGAAACAAATGTGTGTGTATTTATAACATGTCCTTTCAATATTTTAATATAGTTAAGTAAATTATTAAATGTTTTAATTCTATGCTAAAACTTCAGTCAGAATAATATAGTTAAGTAAATTATTAAATGTTTTAATTCTATGCTAAAACTTCAGTCAGAATTACTTTTTTTTTTTTTTATTAGGGAATCTCTAAATGTGTAAATTATACAAAAATCAGTAAAATATCTATTTTTTGCTTATTAATAATAATTACTTTTGGGATCCAAGAACCTAAAACATTTTGATGTTAATGATTTTTGTAAACAAAAATTACAGATCTGTAGAGGATAAAAAGAATACAGTATAAGATTAAGTAAATTTATTTTTTTAATGATAAAAATAGTCTGTACTAAGTTAAATTAGAATATAGGTAATTTATTGTAATTATATACTTACTATTCTTATTTATTCTATATTTAGTATCATTTTATTTAATAGGAAAAGCAATTTTACTCATTTTCTGAGTGATAAATGTTTTCTATTTTATTCAAAAAGTTATCATTGTAATTTAAAAATTCAAATAGACATTTAAAACAAATGAAATTTGTAGTTCATATTAAAATTAACTATTGCTTCTTATAGACATAAATATCAAATTATTTTAATTTAATAGATAAAGTACAAAGTCAGTTTTATGTTCTAGTTAAATCTATATATACTGTATGTATATATATATAAATGATAAAGGAAAATTTTTATTTCTACATCAGATAACTGATATTATATTTACAACTCAATTTTAAGAAAAAGATTTTATTATAATATATAATTAATATACTGGTATGATTCAAATTAAAATAAAGTAAATTTTCTCAGTACAAAACTTAATAAAAAATATGCACTATCATTTCTGTACTTTTAGGGGGACAAAATTATAAATTTTAGTAAAGTTTCATAATTTATGGAATTTTTTTCATATCAAAAAGTGATGGTTTATCTCAAATTGAAGCTAAATGATAAAAGCTAACAACTTATTTTGTAATATACAAGGTGAGTCAAAATTATGTGAACAATCTTAATTTTTAATTAAACATTATTAACAAAAACATCTTAATTTTGTTTTGTTTTCTATTCCGATTGGTCGCAACGGACTGTTATGGCCTCCTTAATCTCTGGTGTTCTGGCACTAAATTGTACTGTTGAACATTGGTTTGAGTGCATTAATTGGTCTGGTGGTCAGGTTGAGACTCTGTATAACACAAACTTTGAGTAAATGCTTTCTCTCAAATAGTGTTCACATAATTTTGACTCGCCCTGTATGTTACCATTTTGAACTTTCATGAATCACAGTATAAGAAAAGTATCATGTTTACTTCAGATAATATGGAGCCTCAGATAATTGGGATTCTATTGTATTTTAAAAATAAAATCTTATCTTCATCAAGAAACTTCTATTTACAAATAGTTTAATAGAATTTAATAAGTAGTAATAAAAGAATAAAAAAATTATAAAAGAATAAAAAAAAATTATA